TCATCTTGGGCTTCTGCTGCAGCCCGAGGGAGCGGAAGATGGGCACAATCATAGTCCTCACCTGATGCAGAGTTTGCGAATGGAGGCAAAATTTTGCCAAACTTTCAGTTCGCAAACCATATTGTTCGCAAATAGAAGCGTTCTTGAACTAAGGTACCACTGTACTTTTTGGTAGGCCAATGCAACTGTGTCTGTTTGCAAAGGAATGGGCCCTTAACAGCTAGAAATACGTGCATATTTGGAATAAATCCTACTGAAGTAAAATTAATTTCACAATACACTTGCACAGGATTGACTTTAAGTATCCAGAACTTTCCAAAAGCAAAGACTAGGAATTAACTAGGGAAAATACTGCTTTTCTATGAGATGAAAACTAAATATAGATATTATTTATTTGACAGCATGTAAAAATTCATATATTGAGAAGACGTAATAATACTGCTGGTCTGCATAGCATCTGCACAGTGAACAATCTTTGTAGTTTTCTGTTTTCTTTGGAGGGTAGCACACTGTGGTTTCCTTACATTTTTGTTAAAATGCATTTGCTAACTTACGATCAGGGCTCTGGGACCAGGGTGTTAGAGGTACTGCAGGGACTGAAAGGACTCCTACGAAGAGGGGGCCGGTATCAGGGAAGATGGGAGGAAGGAGGAGGCAGTTTGCTGATCAAATTTGCAGATGATACTAAAACTGGGACACAACTGAGGAGCAGGTACTCCAGATCCAAAAGGATCTGGACAGACTATGGAAGTGGGCAGGAGACAATAGGATGGCGTTCAATGTAGATAAGTGGATAAGTGCAAGAAAGCTAGGGAGTTCCACGTTTACTTCCGTTTCATTGACTATGCTAAAGCCTTTGATTGTGTGGATCACAACAAATTGTGGCAAGTTCTTAAAGAGATAGGAGTACCAGACCAAATTATTTGTCTCTTAGGAAACCTGTATGCAGGTCAAGAAGCAACAGTGAGAAGTGGATACGGAACCACTGATTGGTTCAAAATTGAGAAAGGAGTTCGGCCAGGCTGTATACTGTTACCCTTTCTATTTAACTTATATGCAGAGCACATCATGAGAAAGGTGGGGCTAGATGAATCACAAGTTGGAATTAAGATTGCTAGGGGAAATATCAACAACCTCAGATATGCAGATAATACCATTCTAATGGCAGAAAGTGAAGAGGAACTAAAGAGCCTCTTGATGCGGGTGAAAGAGGACTGTGCAAAAGTTGGCTTGAAACTCAACATTAAGAAAACTATTATCATGGCAACCAGTCATCTCACTTCCTGGCAAATAGATGGGGAAGGAATGGAGGTAGTGACAGATTTTATTTTCTTCGGCTGCAAGATCACAGCAGACGGTGACTGCAGCCAAGAAATTAAAAGACACTTGCTCCTTGGGAGGAAAGCTATGGCAAATCTAGACAGCATACTAAGAAGCAGAGATATCATCCTGCCAACAAAAGTGCATATAGTCAAGGCACTATATAGTTTTCCCAGTTGCAATGTATGGCTGTGAAAGCTGGACCATAAGGAAGGCTGAGCACTGAAGAATTGAGGCCATTGAATTGTGGTGCTGGAGGAGACTCCTGTGAGTCCCTTGGACTGCAAGGAGATCAAACCAGTCAGTCTTGGAGGAGATGAACCCTGACTGCTCTTTAGAAGGCCAGATACTGAAGATGAAACTCAAATACTTTGGCCACCTAATGAGAAGGAAGGACTCAGTGGAGACCCCAATGCTGGGAACAACTGAAGGCAAAAGAAGAAGGGGACGGCAGAGAATGAGGTGGCTAGATGGAGTCACTGAAGCAGCTGGTGTGAGCTTAAGTGGACTCTGGGGGATGGTAGAGGACAGGAAGGCCTGGAGGAATGTTGTCCATGGGGTTGTGATGGGTCCGATGCAACTTTGCAACTAGTAACAACAACAACAACAACGACAACAACGGCAGATAAGCATGGAGAATGTTGGCCATGGGGTAAATAACAAAGGCAGATAAAGTTGCCAGGTATCTTGGGCCGGGTACTCTTCAACATTGTTATTAATGATATAGATGCAGCAGACAACACAGACCCAGCAAAATAGTCAATGCCCTGGAAGACAGAGATAAGATCCAGGGTGCTGTTGCTAGATTAGAATGCTGGGTTGAGAATAACAGAATGAGGTTTAATAGGGTCAATTGCCAAGTCTTCACCTAAGAAAAAGAAATCAAATGCATCACTACAAGATGGGGAATATTTGGCTTAACAATAGTGAAAATTATAAGTATCTTGGAATTGTTGTAGATCACAAGCTAAACATGAACCAACAATGTGATGTAGCTGCAAAAAGGGCAAACACTATTTTAGGATGCATGGATAGAGGTATCACTTCCAAATCACATGAAGTTTTATTGTAAGCCGTCCCAAGACACTAGTGGCAGACAGGATAGAAAAGCTTTTAATAAAGGAATACGTTCTAGTTCCCCTATACTCAGCACTAGTCAGACCTCACCTAGAGTACTGTGTCCAGTTCTGGGTACCAAAGTTTTAAAAAGATGTAGACAAGCTGGAAAGGGTTTAGAGGACAGCAGCAAGGATGATTCAGGCACTAGAAGCTAAGTTCTACAAGGACATGTTCAGCCTTGAGAAGAGAGGAAAACACTCTACAAAGAAAGGCTGTCACAAAGGACAAGACCTCTTCTTGATCATTCCTGAGTTCAGGACATGGAATGATGGTCTTAAGTCACACAAAACCAGAATCATACTAGACATCAGGAAAAATTTCCTCACTATCAGAGCAGTACAACAATGAAACCTATTACCTAGGGAGGTTATGGACTCTCTCACTGGAGGCATTCAGGAAGCAACTAAACAGTCATCTCAGTGGGAGTGTGTAACTTAGTGTCCTGCAACAGCAGAGGGTTGGACCCGATGGCCTTCTAGGCCCCTTCTGACCCTATTATTTTATGTTTCCATAAAATAAAGCATTCTCCAATTTTACTTCAGCTAGGAAGCAACATAAAGACAATATGCCTCAATTTATTGTAGAATAATATTCCCCTGATGTCGAGATTTAAACAGAAACGAAGAACCCTAACTTAAAATTAAAAAATCTTCAACAACACACAGTGTGTAAACTAGAAGGGAAAAGCCCGCCAGTAAGTCAAAGAATTTTCATTTTCTTCTCCACGCCCGCCTTTTTTTTAAGGCACAAGTCCCGGCTTAGTCCCTCTCACGCAAAGGTGATCTGGGTGTGGCAAACTCTGGGCGGGGTCCCTTCAGCCTTCTATTAAAGCGGCAGCGAAAGGGACACACAAGCCGTGATTTCGGGGGAGGGTTGGGATTAGTGGGGTTGGGTGTTTTTTTTTTTTTTTTAACCGTGGGCATAAACATTCCATTTATTTTTAGGACAAAGACGAACACCCAGTGTGTGGCAAAATGGTAAGTGGTTAAGGGAAGTCACGTTTATATTTCATTGGTAAACGGGTTCGGTTCTCTTCGCTTCTCCCGGGTGGGGGTAGCCGCTTTGGTGGTTTGTTTTACTGCTAAATCAAGGTGTGTGGGGACAGATCAGGAGAACCGAGCTTTCCCTTTTCCGTGGTGGGGGCTTTAGTTCAACGTACATAGGCGCTCATAAGGCAACTCTACGAAAAAAAGGGCGAGTGTGGAAAGGCTCGAGGCTGGCTGGCATGTGGACTACTTCGAAGGAGAGGAGTTCATAAAGGTATGTTTAATAGAGCGACTTGACCACAGAAATGATGCCTGGCAGGAGGAGTCCGCCTCGGGAGGGCTTAAAGCGAAGCAACGGGGAATAAAAAGGCGGGAAGTCGTTACCGCGAATGCGCTTCGAGCCGGGCTGGCGTTGGAACGCGTGCTCGGCGGCGGCTGGCCGGAAAGGCCTCGTGTTAGCGCCCAAGGCAGCAGGGAGGGGCAAGCGGCGCCCCTGTAAATACGCCCCGGGGGCAGCCTTTCACCACGCGGGGACTTAACGGAAAGTGCAACGAACGGCCTACCTGGGTATGTCCTGGCGCTGGAGGTATGTCTCGGTTGACTTCCCGCCGCCTCCAAGATCTGGGGAGTAAATCCGGTTTGTTTTCATCTGTGTAGAATGCGTATGGAACGAGAGTTCTTAACGGATTAACTAAGTTCATGTATTTACTCCACTAAATACATGGGCCTCCACTGCATTCATTATTGGCAAGCTCCATGGGACTTGCTTCTTTCTAGGCTGTGTCATGGGAAAGCTGCAAACTTAGGAGAACTTGGTGGCGGTGCGCGCCAATACATAATCGTATATTTCTGCACGATTTGAACTAGGAGTTGGTACTAGGAGGCCTCTTTTTCGATAGGATGCCCGGATAAGTCTAATTTGAGTCGGTAGTATTATATTTTTAAACAGAGAATTAGTTAGGTAATACCACAGCATTTTTATGGTGCCTGTATGAAATTGGCAAAGTAGCAAAAGCTGACCAGCTGAACAGGGAGTCATAACTTTGATACTATACAAATAATCTGTGTAAATTATGGAATTGTCTTATTTTAATCCTAATACTGAGAAATAATTACATTTCAAGAGTTTCCATAGTGTACATATATGTACTTAGGCCTTTTTTAGGCTAGACATTAGGATTTAACCAAATAGGGTGTTACAGTAGGTGCAGATACTCATCTGCATTAATTGCTATTGATTAGTTAATATTCATGGTATTAATGTAATGTAGTGGGTTAGCAAAGACAGTTAAGGTAGGTCTTTATACACAAACAAAAATTTCATTTTGAGGAAATGTCGAAAACTCTAAATTGGATAGAAAAATGCACACTTGCTTCCCTTCTATACTCTGTACCACAGAATTTTATACACATAGAAATGTACTTTCTAAATTCAAGTATGAAAATAAATCAGTTGTTGAAATCTTTATGGAATTGTATATATACTTGCAGTCGGCTCCAAATCAAGACACTCACAATTCAAGCATTCCTCGGGAAGAAAACAATCAGCCTGCAACAAGCCAAGGATATGTTCTTCCGGAAGGGAAAATTATGCCGAATACTATTTTTGTGGGTGGAATAGATATAAGGGTATGTACTTGTATTATGTTGTTCATTTAGATTTGTGCACCGCTTTGTCCCAAGGACTGAGGATAATGCTGCAGTTCTATATGCACTTAACTTGGAAGAAAATCTCATTGAGGTCAATGAGGTTTATTTTCTGGGAAGGTAAAATGCAGAGTTGAACTGTAAAGCTACTACTGTGTCTCAAATGTATGTATGTATGTATATTTATTTATTTATTATACTTGTGCCCTGCTTTTCCTTCAAGAAACTCAAGGTGGCATACATGATCTTCTATAATTTATCCTCACAATAACTTTGGTGCCTTGTCCTTCTCTTTGAGTAAGCTTCATGCCCAAGTAAACATGTCCAAATTCCAGTGCAACAAATAGACTTTCTACTTTGGTGATTATGTAGTGAAGAAGTTACTAGTCTTGCTATGTCTTTTATTTTTAAACAGGTAAACTAGACTTCAATATTTCCATTTTATGGCTAATTAAACTAACTACAGTGTGTGGCCTGCATACTAGAAATGTGCTTGGAACACCTTAACCACAGGAACTTCAGAGGATGCTTGTGGTACAGTGAACTCAAACGTCTGTAACTAGGTTTCCAAAACATTGCATAACCTATTTAAAATAGCTTGGGTCACTGTCTTCTGGTCTTGATGCACATAAACCTCTGAGCATAGGATTCTATGCAGAGTGTGAGGTGTGATTATTATTTATTATTGTTAAAGTATTTCAAAGCCGACCAGTAGCATCATTCTTTCTGGGCAGCTATTACAATAGTGAGCTGTCTAGGGATGCCATTGGTGGAATAGGCAGTTTATAAATATTTTAAATAAATGAATAAATGCAATAAAATTTTAAACATAATAAGATAAAATGACAATATACATAATTAAATAAAAATGATATATTTAAAAAACAGTTCAGTTAGTCATAATAGTCTAAGCAGTGTCATAGGTGAGATGAGAGGTTTTTGCCAGGTGCCTAAAACTTAGTAAAGCAGGCATGTGGCAAGTCTCATGTGGGAAAGCATTCCATAGTTGGAGGGCTGCTACAAAGAAGTAGTGATATTTGCCATCACCTACCTTATATTTCATTTAGCTGTTTTGGCTGTCCAGATAAAACACAGAAAGGAGAAGGAATGAGATTTGGGTACTGTTCAGATAATTTTTAAGCTCTTAGCCCCAGCCCCTCCCCTCCCAGTATGCCCCTTCAACCTTCTCTGAGATAGATTTCTGACTTCAGCTGGGGCAGCCAGTATGGTTCTTTCCATGCCAACCGTGAAAGGGGCCAAGGATTCTGCACGCAGAGTGCCAGTTGTGTGGTTGCCAGACTTTGAAGCTAGGAATCAGAATATTCCCATGATCCCCTCCCCCAAACCACAACAATGTTGAGAGGCCAGGGAGTAATTCTGTGTATATTGAGATAGAGTCCTGGTCTCCTGGCATTCTGTAGCCAGCATGGCAGGTTGGATAATGGCAGAATGTGTAGGCCTTCTGTCTAGACAGGGATAAGTTTGTGTTTAAGATTTATTCCTGTTTCAGAAATTAGAATTTTGAAGCTGTCCTAGTGAGAATTATGATATTTAATATTGATGGCACATTTGTATGGCCTAATCTATCCCTAGATGGATGAGACAGAAATTCGGAGCTTCTTTGCACGATACGGCACTGTTAAAGAAGTGAAAATAATCACGGATAGAACTGGTGTGTCCAAAGGGTAAGTAGAATCTAGGTATGTAATAGCTGGGAAGACAGCCTGTGGGTAAGACAGCCATCAATGTGGAAATGTGAACTGCAAGTCTGAAGGTCTCTGCTATGAACTTAACTGCTTTTACAAATGGTTCAGTATTGCTCTGACTTTACAGTCTGACCTTATTTTTTGTGATGCTGTAATTGTATTGCTTTAATTTGTACATAAGATGTATTTAAAGTTGCCTTGAGAGTTCTTGACATCCAAAAGGTGGGATATAAAGCTTTAAAATAGGTAAAGAAATAATATGGTTAGTTGCCCTTAATCCAAAGAGTTCCTGATCTCTTTGTCTCTGTGACTGTTCTGTGGTTGGTTGGTTGGTTTTTGGTGGGGTGAGGGATCTATTTCTAGTGTAGGAAGCTAAACTTGGGTGCTGCTACTAATGTGAAGAATGTTGATGCTGCAGCTAATTTTGCATTATCTTCACAGATACGGATTTGTATCATTTTTGGACAACGTAGATGTACAGAAAATAGTAGAAGTAAGTTAATAAAGAGTTCTCTTGTCTGTAGTAACAACCTACTTTGGTAAATTTCTTTACACAATTAAGTTTTTGTTGGTATGGAATTGTAATTAAAGAGGTTCAACTGTAGGTAGAGCATCACATTAGAGTCATTAACGCATCATGTTTAGTCTGTAAACTGTTTACTGTCAGAGAGGAATGATATATCATTGTAACAGAAGTGGATTATAGTATATCTGTGTGCTGTAATTTGCATTAATTTTATTAGATTTAAACAATTGGTGGTATTTTACCATTTAGAAACAATGTGGCTCAGACTTTCACACATGACTTTTTTTCCAGTCACAAATAAACTTTCATGGGAAGAAACTTAAACTAGGACCTGCAATACGGAAACACCCAAATTTATGTGAGTACTTTATCTCCTATATGAAGAGAAACTTATTCATAAAGTAACAAAACTTCTTATTGTTAGAATTAATGCCATATTAATAATACTGGTACTTAATCTAAATACTTTCTACTGCTTTGTGCTATACTTTCATCACCATACACCTTAAAGCAGCTTTCTTCAGCCAAGTGTTCTCTAAATATTTTAGACTTTGATTCCCATTAGCACCAACCAGTATGTCCAGTGGTCATGAATTTGACCTTTGTAGTTCAAAACTTCTGGAGGTTGTCACATCAGGGAATATGCTTGCTTAAAGTGAATTGTGCATGAAAACTTAGTATTCAGCAACCATATGTAGCAGGGGTCCCCAACCCCTGAGCTGCAGGGTCTGTGGCATGTTTGGTACCTGGCTGCACAGCAGGTGGTGAGCAGTGGGCAAGTGAGCAGAGCTTCATCTGTGAGCATGACCTCCACAATTCTCTTCCTTTTGTTCATGGGCTGCCAAACACAAGAGAAGGAGGCAGGACATAAAGAGTGCTCTGACCCACCGAATCCAATCTTTTTTGAATGGACTAAGTTTCTCTGATAGATGCCTTGTTTCTCTAGTGAGACAATGATGCAAGTTGCACCTCCTCAACCAACAGCATCCTATAGCATGTGTGGACTGGCTCAGGCATGGGGCAGGCACTCCAGTAAAAAAGGTGGAATGACTGAGCCTTAGACCAGTGGGAGCAGGTGGATGGGGGTGAGGCTATCCTTTCTTCCCCTGGTTTTTCCTATGGGGGTGTGAACTCTACTGTAAACTGTGCATGCAAGGGATCTAGGTTGTGTGCTCCTTATGAGAATCTAATGCCTGATCTGAGGTGGTGAATTGTATAATTATTTCATTATATATTACAATGTAATAATAATACAAATAAAGCATACAGTAAATGTAATGCACTTCAAACGTCTTGAAACCATCCCACCCACCCCCGGTCCTTGGCAAAATTGTCTTCCACGAAACTAGTCCTTGGTGCCAAAAAGGTTGGGGACCACTGATGCATAGGATTGCATCACAAGTTTGGTGTAGTCCAGGTTCTTATCCATTAGTACTAGCTGCAGTTTTTATGGAATTAGAAAAATATTCTTGTACTAGCACATTTTTTTAAAGGTAGAAGTATTCTCAATGCTTTTCTTGTCTCCCAAGGTGCCTATCATGTGCCACCCAGACCAGTTCTTATTAATTCACCCACACCTCAGTTCCACAGTGTTTGGAGTAACCAAGAAACATATATGCAGCCAACAGCTATGATGAGTCCTGTAACACAGTATGTCCAGGTAAGGTTTCTGGAGTGAATTGTTCAAATTAACTCTCTGTGTGACTACTTTTAAAGTTTGATTTCAAATTATTAAAGTTGAACAATTTATAAAAGAGAATCAAATATATTGCTCAATATCCCAAGACATAATCCCAAATTTATGACCTTGGATATAATTAACTAACTTGTGTTACCTTCCCCAATTCTTTCATCACCCACAAATCTAATCTGCATACTGAAAATGATTGGAGGGTTTAGTTTTTGTGAGGGGAAGTGAAAAGTAAAGTTTGGCTGCAAAAACAAGCAAGAGGATTCAGGTTGGCAGAGGGAGAAGGTGCCCCAGGTAGAAACAAAGCTGAAGGGATGGGATACTGTAGGAAAAAGGAACTGGCTGAGAAGGGTTGCTGGCATAGACCAGAGCACGTCAAGGAGCGTAATTTGATCTCTAGTATCTCTAGCAATGTTAAGATTAATTAACAAACTGGCAGTAGCAAGTAGAAAGGGGAGTAATGTTCAACACAGATGGGTGTAATGTATTGCTTCATATTTATGCTCTAGTGTATTCCCAAAGGTTCCTAACAGCATTGAAATCAGCTTTAGAAGTTAGGACTTTTCCAGAATGCATGTTCCTTGTGTACATTTCCAGGTACACTATACTGTAATAATATTTAAGTACATAGAGGCAGTGATCTTAAAAATCAACTAACTGCTGCCATATCTGCAGAGTGCTTTAGAATCTGGTAAAACATGAGGCTTTTTGGAGGTGTTTTCAGAGATGAATAGACCTCTTTATGGTGCCTTAAAATGTTTGTATTCCATATTTCTAAACATGGTAAATATTTCAATTGGATCAGATTATCAAACATAGTTAACTCTTTGGATAAACAGATTTAAATCTGTACCAATTTTATTGCTCTGAATTCATGACTTTGCTCAAACTAAAAGTCTTTTGGCTTCAGAATGTTATGGTTACAGATCTGTAGATACAATAACTTTTTCCAAGTTTTTTATACTCCAAAGTTGTCTTACTAAAATACGTTTAGATAAAAATATTTCCTTCAGACATGAAGGAGCCAGCTTGAAACTTTGACTCATTCTTCAGATGTGAAGTGATGAGATTTAGAGTGTCTTGATTTGATATCCTTGCTTCTTAAGAAACATTGATTTAAACAAATCATAATTTGCCAAGTTTGAAGGCAGTAGTAAATTGTAGTTTGATGCTTACTGTGAATGGAAACTTTAAATCATGAGTCTGAGGCATGTGTTGGTTTATTTATGTAATAAGATGGTTTTCTTTTAGTTTTTCTTTTAGTTATAGACTAGACATTTTCTAGTGTATAACCTGTGGGATAAATCGTATAAGGAAACTCCTCATAACTACTTACCTTTCTTACTCAGGAAAAAACCTTATCCAACAGTAGCTTTGTATTTGAACTTTTAGGCATATCCTTACGGTTCACCAGCTTTATTAATTCAGCAGCAAGTTCCTGTAGGATACCAGCCAACTTACAATTACCAGGTTTGTATATGTATATTTGAATTCTAATAACTAAATAGGAAGGCCAAGCTTGATTTAACCCTTATTTCTAGTTTTAACTTAAAATGTTCATGTATGGCTGGCTCTACTATACATAACTTTACATAAATGTTAGTCTACTGAAGTGAGCTATTTAGGCAACATCTCTTTTTCCCCCTGTCACCAGCTGTTAACTTTTGGGGAATACCTACATGATTTGTGTATGCATTTAAACATGAGGTACAGTAATGCAGTTCATTTAGTAGCATTACCTTCAGAGATGTACAGTGACCACAAGGTTAGGCTTTGACACTGACTTGGAAACCGTATGGGTACCACTTGACTGATAGGAAGGCAATGTGTTTTGATAACAAACAGTCAAAATTTTCAAAACTAAAAAATGGTCAGAAATGGTTGAGAGGTACAGAGTCATTTTAGGAGAGGATTACATCTGCTAAACTTCAGGAAACAAGGTGCAGTAGTTTTGGTGCAGAGTTCAGTGAAATTTGCAAGGGTAGTTCTCTGCAGAGAGGACTGAACCTGGCAATTTCAGCTGAAAGATGAGGTTTTAGTGAAAGAGGAGGGCTGAGTTTTGGGGTAGGGGTTGAATGATTTGCTTCCCATTTCATCCACTTGTGGTTGAGTTGGGCAATTTGTATGAAAAGGTTACATGTTATCAAGATCTTCAGGCAAGAAACCCACCAAATTTCAGGAGGGTAAGTGCAGGAGCTAAGGTGGTATTAGTGAAAGCTAGTCTAAAGCTTTTTCTTTGTGAACTGCATTGATATTGGAAAACTGGCTTACAGTCCCATCTGTTCCCTTTCTCAAAATCCAATAATTGGAGAGCCCCTTGTACTGCTTGCTTTAGGAGTAGAAAGTGAATCTTTCAGTCACTCAACCACCTTCTGCTTCATTGACATTTAGAGAAACAGAAAACACTGTTTTGAGGGGATTCACACTGCTTTTCTGAACCCTGGATTACAAATTAATATTCAGGCAGGGTTCAACTTGTGTTCCAGTTGCTTCAAAGGAAACTCTGTTTCACTTCAGGAAGCACCTGAATTGGCTTCATCCAAATCCATCATGCATGCCTGTTTGTGATCAGCACTTTACTGATATAGCTTGTCTCTTCCCCCACCCCTCCAATTCGCACGATATGGCTTCCCATCTGTGGTATTCTGCATGGCATAAGTGACCTTTGTTGCTAATCTTGTTTTGCCATATTTCCTTAGGTAGCCTGCTTGGACAGTCTTTAAGTCTTTTAAACAGCTATTTTCATGCATGCCTTATTGTAAACCGTAGTATTTAACCTGTATGTTAAAGTTCTTGTCAAAATTGCTGCATGTTGATAAAAATTGAATTTGTTTTGTTTTTAAGATTCCACCACAATGGCCTCCTGGAGAGCCAAGAAATTACATTGTGCCTCCGGTAAGAAGGTCACACTTTTTGTTTTTATTTAATCTTAATTGCTAATAACTAGATTGTCCAAGAAGATTTCATATGCAGAAATACCACCTTAATAGTGCCTCAGTTAACAAAGGGCCCTTAATTCAAGTAAGTACTGGAAAACATTCCTCTTTTTTTTTTCTTTCTTTTTTTGGAGCTCCCATTGAACTTAATTTGTGCATTGACACATGTACAAATTGGTTTGATTTCACTTACTTTTAAATATTCCAACCTTTTACTAAGTATGAGCCTTCAGAGCTGCTTATGAAATCCATAAAAATCTGGAACCAATTAACAAATTAAGTAGCATTTGAAGGCAGTTAACAATACTAATTGAATAAAGGTCAAATAAGCAAAATTTTGAGAAGGAAGGACTCCCTGGAGAAGAGTCTAATGCTGGGAACAATAGATTGCAAAAGAAGGATGGCAGAGGATGAGGTGGCTAGAAGGAGTCACTGAAGCAGTTGGTGTGAGCTTGAGTGGACTCCGGGGGATGGTGGAGGACAGGAAGGCCTGGAGGAGTGTTGTCCATGGGATCACGATGGGTCGGACACAACTTCGCGACTAACAACAACAAGCAGAATTTATGGTTGAAAATAAAATGAGCAGCCATGAAACCTATTACTGACCACTAAAACCCTGGGCAAAGAGTTACTTTGATTTGCCCTTAGAACAATTTTTTTTTATGTGAACATCTTGGGAAGTATTGTTTTCATAGGGCCTTCTTGTGATACTTCTTTGATCTCAAGCTATTTTTCTACAGTAGAAGTAAATAAGAGCAAGACAGAGGAAGACACCTTCAGTCCACTATAGAAAAGGAACCTTCATAGTAAGCCCCGTGCTCCATTTTCCTACAGTGGAGGAAGGCATCCTAGTCACCTCCTACTTGCTCTGGAAGACAGAGCCAAGTTGAAATCATCTTTTCGGTGTGAGAGGGTACCTCCAAGCTTCTGAAATAAAATAATTTGAAAAGCAAAAGATTCTCATCAAACAATAGGGAAAAATAGCAAGAACAATAGAGGGAGAGAGAGAGGTGCTCCCCATGAGTCCCCGACCATGGAATGCGCTCCCTAGAGAGGTCCGCCTGGCGCCATCATTATATGTTTTTCAGCGCCAGGTCAAGACCTTTATATTCAGCCAGTATTTTAACACACAAATTTAAATTTTAAATTATGCTCAGCGTGGAACAGTTAATTTTATTCTGAAATAATGTTGTTAGCCGTCCTGAGACGACAGTAATGGACAGCATACACATTTTTTAAATAAAAGAGTCTAATCTGAATAAAAATGAACTGAACTATTTTCTTCCTAGTTGTAAGACTTAATACGCTTTCTTATATCCATGTAGAAAAGGAACCTTAGCAGTAAGGCCAGTGTCCTGTTTATTCTGAAATACTCCTTAGGGCAAGCCTCATTGCTATTTTGGTTTAAATAGAGGCCACTGCTGAGCCCACTTGTCAAATGATGCTTGGCCAGAACAAAGGTATTCAGGTTATATTGATGAGCAAACAAAAGAGTGAAAGGCTAAGTTGCTACTGCACAAAAAGTAATCTAGAGCAGTGCTTTTCAACCTTTCTGCAGCTGGGGACTGGCAAAAACAGGAAATCCACCTCAAGGACCACTGAGGCAGAAAGGAAAAACAGCATACACAGTATTCTATGTTAGTTTCTAAACAATACCAAAAAAGTGAAATTGCTCCAAAGCAACCAGAAACCAAGCAACAAAAGATGCCAACAAAACAGCAAAATTCAGAAATTCGCGCAGTGTGGCTGCCAGCTGGCTCCCACCAAGCCATCTCTCCCCTTCCTGCCCCCTCTGGTGGCACCTGCACACCTCTGAATGTGATGCCAACTGAGGAAGAAGTGGTGGGGCACAGCCAGCCCCTGTGCTGGTCATGAGTGGGATGCTGCACTGCCACTGACCAGCAGGAAATCTCCCGTTGACTGTCACCTGAAGACCACTGATGAGAACATTAGTGCTGAATGCAGCTGTGGAGGCTGTGTCTCTCCTGGTATGACCTCTAAAAACTCCCAGGGACAACAGCCAAATTCTCATAGCACAGGGAGATGCAGGCGTTGGGGGAAAAACAAATGTAAAGCTTTAGTCAAAGCCAAATATATCTTGATTGCCCTACACACATCCACTTAGTACCATTCTCTTTGGTTTTGTGCTTGAGGATTCGGATATAGACAGTAAGGTTCTTAAAATTGATGGTAGGTTGTGTTTGCTTTGGTTACAGTAGTACAATTTTTACATAGAACTACCTAGTATTTGGTACTATTTGTTTATTGCAAACATTTATATCCCGTCCTTCCGACAAGTGCTCAGGATGGCTTACACAATGTAAAATTGCAATAATACAATATTAAAACCACAATTATTAAAACAATATAAAACAGCACATCTTAAACTAAGAGAAAAGAAAAGAGAGGAAAGAATTGAAAATGCGACTGTAGGGAAGGAAGAAAAAAAATCTTTTAAAACATCTGAAACCCTTGATTAATAAAATGATGGTTAAATAAAAAGGTCTTTACTTGGTGCCAGAAGGAGTAGAACATATGTATCTTTATTGCTGTAGTTTTGTCTTATTTAATATTTCCTTGTTTGTGTGTTTTTAACTTTCGTTCACTGGCCAGAGGGCCTTGACTATTATACAGTATATAAATAAATTCATACTTGGGATCAATGCAGATCCTTTCTAGCTAAGAATGCATTCAGTTATGATGCTCTGTGCTGATGTGATAGCAACTGAAAATAAAGCTTCCCAGAAAAGTAGTTTTAAAGATACCCTTCCTATAGAGAGTAATACAGAATATCACTAAGCCCCTGAAAACATGGGGAGTCCAAGAAGGAAACTTGTGCATAATGAAAGCTACACTAAAGAGGGTCCTCTAAGAAATCTCCAAACATGTTAAGGGGTAATTCCTGTTACTGCAGCAAAGGGCTGCAACTCATTTTTTTTTAATGTAGTAGTTTGCAGGTGGAATGCCTCCAACACCCATCTTTCTGGAGCAAAGCAGGACTGTAATGGGGTGGCTCTCTTCTGCATAGGGAAGGTTAATTCAACTTTATACATAATTTTAGTTTTATTATATGGAACAAGTGAAAGGAATAAGGCCAGGATATGCCTCTTTCACTGTAAGAAAATGAAATGTTGGGCTTACTGCAAAGTCTTCTTTACACTGAATGGAACATTTCACATGTCATGTCATCTAGTGGGCATATGGAGAAGAATCTGTGATAAAGATCTCAGCTTCTTGTGCCTGGGCTTTAATCTTGTGGGCAGGGTTTTATTGTGCAGTGCATTGCTTTCTTTTAGTTGATTGAGAAGTAATTATTTCAGCAGGCAGACTTAGGTGCAACAGGATGGTCCCATGCAAAGACCAGAGGAGAATCTTGCTGAATGTTTGAGAAACTACTTCCAGCAAGTTCACAGAATTAGAATTTTTAAAAAGTTTTAAGTGTTCTGTGTTTTTAATTCAGTACAGAGAAAGCGGGGAGGTAAGGTAGATTTTATCAAACTCTATACAGGATGGAAAAAGTTGCTAGGAACAGTTATGGAAGAAGAAGAAATATATAGAGCTCTGAATCACCTAATAAAATTGTTTTATACTTTAGTCAACATGAACAAAAAGATTTCATATAGTGTATAACTAACAAATGGAATTGATTGCCATAAGATATGATATGATAGCTATGCTGGGTTAATGTCTTTTAAAGGGAGACAAGTTCCTAGTTGATAACAGTTTGGGAAGTATTTTCATCATGAATGTAGCAGAACAGGAGTTAAGGTTACCCTCCATATGTTGTAATTCCAAAAAAATTGTGACAGAATGCCTGGTGTTTAAATTTTTATTAAAAATGTAAGTTATGATAAGTTTGTGTATCACATCTAGTTTGGCTTCAGCCTTCTGTGAAGTGCTGCTATTTTGTAAGCTGACAGGGAAGAGGAAATATTTGAAGGATAATCCCAAAGTGCCATAGATTTACTCTCTGTAGTTACCATTGTCTAACAGCCCCAGCCAGCTTGGTGCTAGGGTAATTATGCTGGTTGTTGCTTTACAATTTTGTTTCTTACTGTAATATTTAGAACATGTGGCCCCTCAGGACATTTTTGCATTACCTGCCCTGTTCTACCATTGCTGCCTCTACACATTGGCAAATTGTGATGATTTAGCAGGGAAACACTACACAGTGTCCAAGCAGAGTCATACTTCCACACACCATTTTTTGTCAAATGGATGTAGTTCAGTGTGCTTTTCACCACTGTGGCAGTGGTAAACTCATCTGGGTACAGTGCAGCCTGTGGTGAGTACCAACAGGGGGTGATGGGAACTCGTTTATTTCCTTTTCAAGAAAAACTTTTTTCTCAATATTTTTTTCCTCTGTGAAGGCTTTAGTACACTTGTAGTTCTTAAGCATCACTGCTTATCACAGGGAAGCAACCTTCACTAAGTATGTCCTATTAACTACAAAAAAAATGAAACCATCTAAGCTTTTGTTTCTTATTATTTAGATAATGTATCTTAGAATATCTTTGCTTTTGTAGAGCTTTACTTTTCAGAGGACAGTTTCCAACAAACTATTGCACATTTATTTTCCAACCACAAGAGGGAGAGCCCATATGGATGAATTGCATTCTCTCTCAACATTTCTTGGAAATGGAAGTCCCACCCCTCCTGTGTTAATCTGCTGTCCACTTCAGAAAGAAATCTCAGTGTAAAGAGAGGCACTGAGCACTATAGCACATTCTGTGTTGGAGAAGAAGCCAGGTGTTCATAACGAGCATCTCAGTTGGGGTGTGAAAAACAGGAAGAGACTCAGGACTTGCAGGAACCATCCGAGGGTGTCCTTTCCCATGCCTTGGGTATCCCTACTGTTCTGTGAGAAAGATCTTAGCAGGAGTGTGCAAGAATTTATGCTAATAAGTCCTGCCCAGTCTCATCTCCTGCCATGATGTTTTCATTTTGACTGGGGTACAAGCATATCAGGAGAAGAAATCCTGATTCATCTCTGATTAGAGATAAGGAATAGATTCTCCTTAGTACAGCTTGCAGGGTAGGAGAGCAGGCTGGAATGGGCCTCAGTATGGGCCAGAGGTAGTCTTTTCTTTGTGTAAAGGATTAATTTTGATTGACTGATTGATTGATTGATGGGGACTGGTGAGTATCACATTCCTTTTGCATTGTTGTCTCATTCTAAGCAACATAGTAGCTTGAAGTGAACCATGTTATTATTAAAATATACGTCATAATGTAGCTGCCCAGACAGAAGTTTATTTTCTGTTCCTTTATAAAAAGCATTGCAGATGTTCAATTGAATTGGCTTAACTCTGCTGCTTCTGTGAGTGATAGTTGTAGGATGTAAATAGGATTAGTACTTGATGCTCTGGAGAAGGTTGGCATGTTCTTCAGGGCATGCTGTTATGACTACTGGGAGGCTGATCCAGAAATCTCCTGAGCTTCTAGCTATATAAAGTTATAGATAGATGAAAAGGATAGCAATAAACATGTTTTGGTATTTTTTATATTTGTATTTTAAAATTGCTTTCTATTGCAAGCTTGCATATTGTATTTCAGTTTCAGGCTGCTTTCTTCTGCTGATGGGATCGATAGTATCCATTTGTATTAATCTTTGAACATACTTTATTCAGGCTTATACCACCGTGAATTACGGTGGTGAAATGGATGCAGGAGCTGACCAAGCGGAATGTTCTATGGCTGAGACTGCACAGTCCTGTGCAAACAGCCCCCAAAAGGTATGTATGATTTCTATTGCTTATTCCATTCTTACAAATAGGAAACTACATGAGGTGACTGCTCATGATGAGTTGTGGGGAACTTGCAGGGAAAGAAGATTGCTATGGAATCTGGGTAGCAAGTATTGCCTCTCTTATCCTGGGATATATCTGGTGATTGCTGAATAAAGGCTGCTGGCTGTATTGCTTCACTCAGTGTTTTGTTCTGTGTTTGCCATCATGTATATATTGGACTCATTGCTGGCAGAAGGATTAGTATAAATTTGATATTAAACTACAAAGCCAAAGTCATTAGCATGGAATTTGTAGTTCTGGTTTAGGGAAGTTAGCATGTTCTATGTTTGAGACATAGAATTGATTCTCTTAGAAGCAATTTCTGTTTGGGGACATTTGATCCAGGCATGAAATGTTTGCTGTTATTTTCCTGCTTGAGGTTCCTACACTGTCCTTGTAGAAAATTTTCAGTTAGAAAATTTTAAATGGAAATTGAATTCCACAGAGCTAGAGAAAGTTTCCTAAAATGTCTCCTTTCTTGAGAAGTAAGAAGACATAGGATGTCTCGGAAGCTGCATGCATTTGTATTCATAGAAAGCCAGTGATAGCTTACAGAATCCGTCTTTTCCTTTACTGTTGTTTCTCCCACAGGTTTTTTCAGCTGTGTACGAATTAGGTAATACATAGCCTCATGTCAGTTATCCTTTGACAGCTGAAATGTCCAAGGAATTAACTAGGCAGGAGCATAAATATTGAATACCTTTAAGAATGCAGTTGAGAAAGACTGACCAATACAACATCATAATCTTCAACAACTACTAACTGGCCCTAATTGCACATTTCGGAGGCTTGAAATGGTTTTTAAAAATGCCAGGAACAAATGGGAACAAGAAGAGCCAGGGCAAAGAGCCAAAATGGACTCTGTTGCCAAGTCATTTGGCATATGTGCTGGAACCAGTTGGAAAAATGAGGAAGAAGAGAGGATGTGCAACAAACCCAGTTGTTATGTATACCATGGGTTGTTCAGTCATCCACTCAGACTGTACAGCTTGTTTGCAGGAATGACTTAGTGTTACACATGAACTCACCCAGTGAGCATAAGAGAAACACTGTTACTTTCCTTCTGCTACCACATGTGATGGAATGTGTAAGCTATCTCTTGAATGTTTGTTTAAAAAAACCTCAAACTTGGATCTATGGAACTCACCACTGCAATTTTAATCAAGTTCCCAATTAAATGTTGTTAGGGAATGATGCCTCCACTATAAATCTTTTAACTGCTGCCATCAGAATGATTCCTCTATACTTAAAAAAATCTCTGTGTGGTTCCTATGGTGTAGCCATGGAACTTGCACCCATTACTAGAAGAAAATGAACACCAAATGTCACTATTCAGGTAATAGATTTCAATAACATAAAGGTTCTGAAGTCCTGATAAGTTCCTTCCTCAACTATGTAAACTTCAAGTAGCTTTTCCTTCAGACCTGATTTTGCTAAATTCTACTGTAACCAATTCCTCAAGAGTCTTCCTTTGCCTCTGGGTCTGCTTTTTCCTTGCATGTTAAGGTGATTAAAAGTATAGTTTAACAATAATTTACAAATTCTCTGTTTACTTCTTTAATAAAGATAATTTAATGAGCAAACCAAGTTACATATATAAAATGTATTCTGTGTTGCTAAAGTAACGAAATGACTTGAGATATTTAAAGAGTACTAAAATGGTATTGTTTATATTTCAGTTTCCCATCAAATTTTTCTTCTAAACATTTGTTCCCTCAAGACTTCAAAATTTCCAGAAATAATACCTCTGCACTTGCCATTAAGCAGAAGTTGATTGTTATAGATGTAACATATTACATCTATATCTATAGATGCAATCTTATGCACACTTACCAGGGAGTAAGTCCAATTGAAATCAGTGAGTCTTAATTCTGGATAAACGGGCATAACATTTGTACTGTTGTGACTATCGGTAGTAAGGGAATTCTTACAAGAATTGCAAGATCGCTATATCAACATCGAATTATACTGGCAGTTATTAGGAGATCTATACTCTGGGTGCAGGATCTTTTTAATAGGGAAGGAAATGTTGCCTTCCTCTTGAGTTACTGTTTTAATGGTTTCCTAAAATTTTCTACAAAAAGGTTGCAACGACACTAAAGATGTTGCCTCTTGATTTTATTCTGGAGATGACCAGACTTTGCAGCAAAGGCATTAATGTCCGGTCTTTAAGGTACATACAGTGTGCAATATTGACAATAAACTAATAAAACTTAATTATTTTAGAAATCTGTGGACCGAAGCATACAGACGGTAGTTTCATGTCTGTGTAATCCAGACAACCGATTGAGGAACAATATTGTAACTCAAGAGGACTATCTTAAGGTATGAATAAGACTGCAAACTACTAAGAACTCAAGTTGGAGCAGCAGTTCTTTAATCACTCAATGTATTTGACATTTATTAGTAGCCATCTTCAGATTCTTTGGCACCTAAAAGCATAAACATAATGAAGTATTCTGACACACAACTTCATAGATGAGTGGCTTGCTTTCAATATTTTATATTGTGCTTTATTTGCTTGAGAGCCAGTATGCAACAATTTAAAGCAATACAAGTTTAAACAATAAAAAACAATATTACAAACAGTAAAGCATCAAAATGAAACAATTTATAAACCTAAATTAAAAGATGTGCTTCTTTCAAAAAGTTGAGAGAGCCAGTTGGGCTTGGGAAAGATACAGAAAATATCCCCTTCATGGTCCTGATAAATGGGTTTTTAGCAGTAATGCTGTTTTTCTTCGTGGGTTCTGTGCATTGCATATATGGGTTCTGTGCCTGCATGGATTTAGTAGTTCTTCGTCGTGGCCTCTGTGCATCACACATATGGGTGCTGCGCCTGCGCAGTGCCTTTGGCCGGAAGATTGATAGCTAACGGTTTTTGGCGGGAAGCTCCGCTCCCCTCCCCCATGGCCTGTAAAGAGCGGAGCGTCCACCATTTGTTCAGCCTTTGCGACCGCCGTTTGCTGTGCCTCGTGCCGCTTTCGACTTTTGCTTTGGCTATTCTTGGTTCTCTCCTTATATATTGCCCTTAAACTACTTTCCCCTTACTTCGTTTCCCGTTCTGTGTAGTTTTCTCTCATTTCTTCTTCGATCTAAAAAAAACAAAAAAACAAAAATATATACTTACCCTCTGCACTATCTCTCTTTCTTCCTTCTTCTGCGATGGCGCAGCGGGCGGCTTTCCGCAGATGTGTGGACTGTGGGTCAAAAATGGCACCTACTGATCCGCATGACCTATGCCTCCTCTGCCTTGGGGAGGGGCATAGGACGGATAAGTGCGTTCATTGCCTAGCCTTCTCTAAGCAGGCTAGGAAGAACCGCGAGAACCGGCTTCGGAGGCTCCTTTGGGATAGGGCCCTGATACAATCAGACCCGCTCATCTCTATCCCAAAACCGGGCTCCGCTTCTGTGACTCCACCCTCACGCCCTTCGGATGAAGGTGCGTCCGCTTCGCTGGCCCCCTCTGCCTCACCAAAAAAGAGGCATGAGAAGCGCAAACATGCCGAAGAGAAGCCGGCAGGCCATAATAAGGCCAGAAAGGAAAATGCCTCTAAGCCTCCAAAGAAGGCTAAGTCTACGGATGGTTCCCAAAATTGGGACACGGAACCGACGGGCCCTTCGGTACCGGTGGCGGTTATGATACCGACCCCGCCCGAACTGATCCTTCAAGAGGCTATGTGGGTCACCCCTCAGGGGTCTCCCCGACGTGCGGTTGACCTCCCGCCAGCACCCCTTCCAACTCTATGGGGGTCTATCTCGGATGGGGAAATCCAGGACTCCCCTCCTAGAGTGAGGTCACCGACACCGATGTCCGCAGTGACATTGGAGACAGAAGCTGGCCTGTCCCCACCAGGGAATCGGAGGAGCCGCTTGGTAGAGCAACGCCCGGAGACTTGGCGTCGTCCCTGCTGCCAGCCTTGGGGAGACCCGCTCTCTGTGGGATACTACCCTGCTCCCAGAGCGTGATCCTCACCTCCGCCCCGTGACCAACCGTGGTCTGTGGATTTGAGGAGGGTACTGCCTCGATCCCCGCAAAGCGAAAGCAGCCACTCCTTATCACCGGCGGAGTCGTCATCTTCTGCCCTGCCATACTATGGTGCTGATTCAGATGACTCTGATGTAGACTCAACTTCCCCGGACGTCGTGGTGACATCCCAGGATCCTGTGTCACCCAATGAGTCACACGTCTCCTTCGCGGAGCTGATGTCGAGGCTTGTCCAGTCCCTGGACATCGACGCTGCCCAGCGCCCGGGACCGTCCATGGACAAGTTTTACGACGTCGTTCACGGGGAGCAATCAACCTCTATTGTTCTGCCTCTTACAACTATCCTGCGGCAGGCGATGACGCAGCCCTGGGACCTACCTTCACATCCTCAACCGACGTCCAGGAGATATGAATCTATGTACAGGGTCAGGGAAGAAGACATCCCCTTCCTGCTAAAGCACCCGAAACCAAACTTGGCAGTCGTCGAATCCTCGCAAGGCAGGGAGGCAAGGGGACATACGGCGCCGAGGGATAAGGAGGGCCGGAAAATAGATTCCCTGGCCAGGCGGGTCTATGCTGCCTCAGGCTTAGGACTTCGCATTTCTAACTACGAGGCGACATTGGCGCGATATCAATATTTTATTATGCAGCGCCTCCACAACGTCGCCTCCACCCTCCCAAATCACCAGGGTGACCTTGCGAAGGTCCTGATCAAAGAAGCCATGCAGGTCGCAGTGCAGCAGTTGTCCACGGCACGTCACCACGTGGACACTGACTCCCGGGCCTTGGTCAGTGCCGTTTCCCTCCGGAGACACGCATGGCTTCGAAGTTGTAATTTCCCGCAGGAAACAAAGCGGCGAATAGAAGAGATGCCTTTTGATGGTTCGGGACTCTTCCATTCACGTACCGACCAAAAACTCAAGAAACTACACGAGTCAAGAATGACGGCACGCAGGATGGAGATCCAGTCACATAGCAGACGTAAGTGGTCCTGGAATCGGCCATCCTACAGGCAGACATACCAACAGAGACAGCTGCCGCAACACCGCCAGCAACAGCAGCAGCGGCAGCAGCGCCGCCGCCCTCAGCCTCAACAGCACTTCCAACAGGGCCGCCGTCGTTTCGACAATTGGAGACAGCGCTGACGGGACTGGCGAACCACTCCTCACGCTCCTCTAATACCCACCCCCCTCTCATCTGGGGACTGGCTCCAAAGCCGACTCCCCATTTGGGAGTCCATCACATCTGACCGGTGGGTATTATCCATCGTTCAACACAGCTGTTGATTCGACATCATCCCTCCATCGAGTCCGATCCGGTCTACTTCATGTTCGCCGGTACTTCTCGACAAAATACATCAACTTCTCCTTAAAGGAGCGATTCATCAAGTATTCCCATCTGACGGACTCCACGGATTCTATTCCAGATACTTTATGGTCCCCAAGCGGGACGGTGGTCTACGTCCGATTTTGGATTTACGGGACTTGAATAAGTTTATTATACCGAGAAAGTTTCGTATGACCACCCTTCAAAACATTTTGCCGTTGTTAAGGAGAGGGGATTGGTTCGCCTCACTGGACCTGAAGGACGCTTACTTTCATATTTCAATTCATCCAAATTACAGGCGTTTCCTTCGTTTTGCTGTTGCAAACCAACTTTATGAGTTCAAAGTTTTACCCTTCGGACTGGCTTCAGCTCCGAGAATTTTTACCAAATGTGTGGCTTCTGTCTGTGTCTTCCTACGCCTTCAGGGCATACAAATTTACCCGTACCTCGATGACTGGCTGTTAGTCTCGCAATCCAGAGAAGAACTACTAGACACCATCCATACAACCCATGCCTTACTAGATAGTCTGGGTCTATGTATTAATACAGAGTAATCTTCTCTTCTTCTGACAGACGCTCACCTTCATTGTTGCCCGCTTGGATTCGACGTTGGAGAAAGCCTTCCTCCCTCAGGACAGACAGCAGACTCTAGCTGGCCATATCCATCGAATTCGACGAGAGGGAATGGTTACGGCGAGATCCATCCGGAGGGTCCTGGGGCATATGGCCTCCACAGTTGCCGTAGTTCCACATGCCAGACTTCGGCTTCGCCCACTACAGTTATTTTTCAACAAGGTGTATCATCCACAAAGAGACCCACAGTCGAAACGGATTCGGATCCCGTCTTCCGTGCTCCACTCCCTGTGCTGGTGGCTGAAGCCGACCAAACTTGTGGTGGGAGTCCCCTTCAGGGCGCAACCTCCTTCGATAACTCTCGGTACCGATGCGTCTCTCCTAGGATGGGGGGCGATATGCTCTGGCCTGTCTACCCAGGGAATGTGGGCTCGTCTAGAGTCCAAGAATCATATCAACTTCCTAGAGCTGCTGGCAGTCTTCAAAGCCCTTCGTTCTTTCGAAGACCTCCTTCATCATCGGATCGTTCAGATAACTTCGGACAATATAGCAACCGTTTTTTATCTGAACAAGCAAGGAGGGACGAAGTCACCGACCTTAGCCAGGCTTTCTATGACAATTTGGGACTGGTGCATTCCGAGACACATTACTCTGATGGCCATTCATCTGGCCGGCACAGACAACGTGCATGCGGATCTTCTCAGCAGACACATCTTCACTTCGCACGAGTGGGAACTGGATCCTTGCACGCGCAACCACCTGTTCAGGCGCTGGGGGTTTCCCAGTGTGGACCTATTCGCTACCCAACAGAACAGGGTGTGCGAGACTTACTGTTCGAGAGCGGGAATCGGACAAGCATCCCTAGGGGATGCATTCATGATCCCTTGGGACAACATCAACTTTTATGCTTTCCCTCCGATCCCTCTTCTGATGAAGGTCATAGCGAAGATCGTGAGCGACCGTGCATCGGGGATACTAGTTGCCCCTTGGTGGCCACGCCAAGCGTGGTTTGCGAAACTGCTCGACATCTCCCGCAGGGAGTTTCTTCATCTTCCGACACTTCCGTATCTTATAACGCAAATGGACGGCACACTTCGTCACCCGGACTTGCTCTCATTGAACCTGACAGCGTGGCGGATTCGATGATTGACCTTCCATTGGGGCCGGCGACAGATTCGAGAGCCTCGAATCCTACAGCTTCTATTAATTCATCGGTATCAACGATCACTTCGACCACTTCGGCTCCAATTCTCGAATCCAACCATGCGGGTGCTTCTCACCGCCACAGTCTCTCTGTACCATCCGGTTCGAGACAGACCCTGTCGAATTTGAATCCAATGCTCTTGCACCCTGAGATTCAGCATATTATCGACGCTGCTCTAAAGCCATCCACAAGAAAGTCATATACGGCTAAATGGAAGCGGTTTTCCGCCTTCGC